GGCTAAAGCAGAATTAATTCAATATATAATCTACATGCTGCATAAATTATATTCTTGATATATATATAATCCACTAACCATAATTGCATCAAAAAGGTAACCCTAAACTTCACTCCACTTCAGCCGACTACTAAAATAGAAAAAAAATGATAACTATAATACTTTCTAAAATAGGAAAAAATATAGCGCGCCAAAAAGTTGAACACAACTATCCCTCCACATTTCATGTGATCGTACTGTATAATTATTATATACTGAATTAGTCAAAGTGACCCTGAAGTTTAGGTTATATAATATACCATATGTTGCTTAAGAAAAAATATGTACAAAATTTTGTTTCTGTATACTATGCACAGTTCACATAGCAAAATATAATCACTGTATACTATACAGTATTTCAACCTATTCTGAAATTTTCAGCTAAACAGGACTTCAAAAACCAAATGGGTGAGTTAGTAATTTCAAAAGCAAGAGATTCATGATTTTAGTATTTGGTAAGTTAGTGATTTCAACATTGGGTAAGTTTGCTATTTTAATAGTAGCTAGGTTAGTAACTTTAACAATAGATAATTTAGTGCATAATTTAAATAATGTAGTTTATGACTTCAATAGCAGATGAGTTAATGATCTTAATAATAGGTAGATTAGTAATTTAATATTAGATAAGTTTGTGATTTATAGAGAATGATAGTAGTAGTTTACAATTTTGACAGTTCATAACTTTTTTTATAATTTAGTAGTAGTAATTTCAATTGTGGGTAAATAGATTCATGATTTCAATGGTGCTTAGATTCATGATTTCAAAATGAATAACTGCTAATAATTTTAACAGCGAATATGTTTGTAACTTATTAATAGTGAATGGATTTGTGATTTTAGCTGTAGATAATTCATGATTTCAATAACAGATAGTTTGTAATTTAGTATTGGATGGGTTTTTTTTGCAATGTTACCCAAACCTGAATGGGATAATTTGGGAGTTATACTTAATTTTGGTTTGGGAATTAATATTTAATGATATTTCCAACCCAATTTGAAACCCAATTCTGTGCCTATCTCTTATTGTATATTATAATCTTTAAGAACCAATCAACTCTACAAAACAAATATACTGCAGTTAATAATGCCAAGGAATTATTTTCATAATTGTAGAATAATTTTTTGTATTACTAGACAGGTCCATATTACTTCACTGACAGCTCATTTAGCTGATATATGCCAGGTAAATTTAGTAAAAATATATACCTGCAACTAATCAAATACTTAACTCTAACCCTATATGATGTTGGCTAAATAAGCATTCGGTGAAATGATTGTTGGTGAATTGATCGGAATCATATCACAAGTGGGTTAGAGTTGGTCACCGAAACATATTTTGCCAAATCTGAAAGTTTCAGGTTTCAGATTATATAGTAGTTTCCGAATCCTCATCCGAAACTCGAAAGTTCTGAAGCTCGAAACTCCAAAACTTCATGATTGAAAAAAAATTTAGAATGCTTATCGATTCAAAAAGTTGGCAAAAGGTTAGATGTTATTAAATCTTCTATAAGTCGGTTTTCAAAGGTATGGATGTATTGAAAAGTTTGCAACACCTTATCGATTTTTGGAATTTTGAGTTATATTTAAACTAGTTGACGAATTCTTAATCATATATCTATCTATTCGTGTAGTATGTTTATTATAAAAGTCTATTTTATATCTGGACTTTTTTTATTTCTTGTCAAGATTTATTTGTTGACAAAGACTGTCTTTATAAACTTTCGCACATACTAAACACCCAACATATTCAAACAAAATTCAAATAATGTTGAATGTATCAACATTACGGAGAATATTTCCATTAATAATAAAATAGAATAAAATGGAATTATTATAGCCAATAAATCTTAATTGCCAATTCGTCAATAAATCGGATCACGTGATCAAAATTTAATATAAAATTATCGCGTTAATTAATATTAATAAAAATGCATTTGCTATCTAAATCTTCATATCCAACAAGTTTAATTTCATGTCAGTTCAAAATTATAAAAGACAATTGTTGGCTCCTGGTATTATTGTTCAAAAACTACATTATGGACCTTTTGCTACTAATTGGTGGATGTTTCCAAATACAAAAAATTCTCAAAATAAGAAAAGTACTCCAATTCGCATTAATATGAGAATTAAATTTGAACTCAACCAAGAAGAATTTATTATTCGAGTAGTTGACAATAATTGGAAGCCTGGTTATGTGTGTGAGTTAGATATAGAAGCTATAATTTACTCAATATCTAGTGCGGCAATAAATGAAACTTACAACAAACTTTTCAATACAAAGACACGCTTTTCTGGACCAGGTGTTTTGGGTTTTAATAATGAAATAATAGTTGAGCAATTACAAGCAGAAGTTTTATTTTTTCATTTCAAATTATTGCTCATGATATTGTGATTTTTGTGATAGCACTGGGAAGTTCAGATCAAGCAGAATTAAATTTTAAAGGCCCTGGTTACTGTTCATCTTTTTTTTATAAATATCATGGACAATGCTCTTTAATATTCCAATCAATAATGAACACCGAGTATAGAATAGACATATATTATCAAGAAAACAAAATTCGAACTTATACTGGAAAATCCCCAGATGATGTTTGGTCAAAACCAGATATTTTGAAAAATTATAATGGCAAAAATTTATTTGGATTATGTGATCAACTTGTTATACAGGCTATTCAAACTTATATAAATGTACCGTATTGTAAAGTATGTGACTGGAATAATATTGAAACAATGACATATGCTTTTGAAAAACATTTAAAAAGAAGAATATCAGTTGCTAATTTAGATTGGTACCAGTTTTTTACTAAATGGAAACAGTAATCAACAACTATTATCGAATTTTTTTTCCCATCTTGCTTCTATATATCTGGCAGATTTTAAATTTACCAACACGATTCTAGAAGCATGGAGATCAATGATGCGATATGTTTAGAGATGGGAAAAATGCGCATTTTATAATAAAATGCGCATGAATGCGCATTAATGCGCACGAATCGTTTCATGC